TGTTAAAGGTATACAACATATCTTTTGCATATAACTCCGGCTACACCATCCACTGTATTTTTGCGCAGAACCATCGCAATTTACAAAAAAAATGCATAGTGCAAACCGAATTTATTAATAAACTAGTGCTCGGAAATTTGAAAAATTTGCTGTAACTAAAAGTTTAGTCCTTTGATTACACGTGTATGTTTTGATTCGGGTTATGCGTTTGGACACAACAACCGAAAATCATTGTACAAATAACTAAACCGGACCCAAATTTCTCCATAAGGGCAACAAAGATTTTTTTTTGTTCGTTTGTATAAAGCAGTGGATAAAAATATACGTCTAATGAAAGGCGTATTTATCTGTTTAAATGAACACCCCTAATATTTCCTGCAAACACACATCGATTTACATATTTTATTTCCCTCCGACACTGCATCGTTTTCGTACAAAATTTCGCAAAAAAGCTTACTCGTTCGTTTTTAGGCATGCTATTGTTACGAATTTCGAAAGTTCGAAAATATGATTCGGATTGCAGCATACTATTTCTACGATTCGTAGCAAAATCCGAATACGAAAGAGTTGCAGAATAGGGGTGTTTAGTGGAAACAAGTTTAGTAAATATCTAATGTTTTTTGCATGCATTATTTTGATGAAAGTTAATATTTATCAATTTTATATTTTTCCCATACATTTTCGGTTTTGTTTTTCATACAAGTTATATCCTTTGTAACTCATAGAAGTTATCAACTCGGATAATTTTATGAATTTTCATATAAGTACTAATTATTTTTATTAATTCATATAAGTTCATTAGTTTCCATACAAGTAATAATTTTTTAACAAATTTTTCAAACAAGTATTAAATTTATTAACTTATATAAGTTCATTAGTTTTCATACAAGTAATAGCCATATTAATTCATGTAAGTTATAATATTTCATACTAGTACAAGTAATTGCCTTATTAACTTTTGCAAAGTCGAGTAAATATCTAACGTTTCTTAAAAACATTATTTGGGTGAAATTTCATATTTAGCAATTTCATATTTTCCCCATACATTTTCGGCTCTGTTACTATTTTTTAAACAACTAATAATTATTCAAAACCTATATAAAATGTAGCTTTTTCAAACAAGTATTAAGTTTACCAACTCATATAATTTTATTTAAAAATGTAATGATCAGGGTACGGATTTTTAGGACCTAAAAACCTTTAAAAAGGCAAAATAAAATAACGAAATAGGCTAGAAAAGGTAAAATAAAACAGCGGAATAGACAGGAAAAGGCACCAGAAACCGCAAAAAAGACAAAAAAACCGAAAAATAATCAAAAAATACATTTATTTTACAAACAAAAAGTGAAAAACTTTGAACTAGTTTCATTATATATAAATTTTGTACTTTAAATCTTTGACTATTGTCTCCTTATTGAACCATAAGATGCATTTTAAAAGCATTTTCATTCGATTTTCCCGAAGAAAAGCATTGACTGTACTAAACGTGCGCTCGACGTGATTTGATATACATAAGTGGCATCCAATTTAAAAATGGAACGTTTAAAACTTTCATATTATCAGGATTAAGGGATATTTCCTTACTCTTTATAATTAAAGAAAGAAGAGGTAAAAGAGACAAATATCTTTAAAAAGGCAAAAAAAAGCAACATCAAATGTGTATATATAGAATCAGGTAAAACTAAATCGTGGACATTCTTAATCTAATATACTCTATCTCTTTAGCAGAAAAGAGTTAATTTCCATAAAATCCGTTCCCTGATATCTAATAATATTAAGAAAATGTCCCAATATCTGACAATTAAAAATACCGCACCATAAATTTATTTTGTACCGGTACTGCGAACAATCTTCTCTCATTTCGTGAGGATTGTCTATCTGCCAACTACGAAGGTTACGTAAATTAAAATAACCATCACGTTTGCATCATGATTCGTCGCTCTAAATTATTTTATTAAAAAATCTGGGGTCTGATTCATGCATTCGAAACATTTCACGGCAAAATCTAACCCTCGACAGGTAATCTCTTTCTTGTAGAGCCTAAACACGTTGAATGTGGTAGGGATGAAATCGATGGTCTTTTAAAGCTTTGTGAACTGTAGTTTTTGGTATTCCCGTCCGTCTTTCCATCATTCTCACTGAAGTCGATGGACCTAGTTCCACTTCCTCTAACACAGCTTCAACATCTACCGTTGCAGGACGTCCTGTTTCGCCGCCACGCCTTCCAGGTATGCGACCTTAAAAAAGTGAAAAATGATAGTTAACAAGCAAGCAAACAAGAAAGGTGTAAAAATCACTTACCTTCATATATTTCTCTATGGGTCCGGGCGAATACTTCACGACCCGGATGCCGACGAGTGGGGTATCGCTCTGCATAGAGTCTTTGAGCAGCTCTGGCATTACAGCAAGCTTCACCGTAAATTAGGTGAATATCCGCATATTCATGCGACGTAAACTGCGTGTTCTCTGTCATAGTATTAAAAACACAATGTTCGAAGGGTCCAATTTCACAAAATCCACTTTCACTAATTCCGGTAAGTAACACAAAATAATGTCAGGAGCAGGTAATAATGTACCTTTGTACTATTTTGCATGTCATTTGACGGTAACAAGAGCAAATTCAATTTAAATCCATTAAATACATTCTAGCGTGTCTCAGTCCTTTACCCACAAAAGCGGCTATAACTTTTTTTTTTCTATTCAAAACAGTAACAGGTGCCACACCTTCCTGAAATCTTTATTAAATGAGCAATTTTTTTATGTAATGTAAAGTTATAGCTCAGTACATTTTTTTTCACCCGAGATAGTCAAAGTGGGGGAAGAAAATATCAAAAAGTTAAAAATCCATAAATAGTCCTAATTTTATGATGGTCCCTTAATATATTTTAACTACATTGCATTTGAGTATGGAGAGGCAACTATCTGGAAGGATTTTACATAAAAAGTTTACTAAGTATTGCCCGGTTTGTAGTTGCAGTTAAAGAAAACACATGAAAAGGCACGATTTTTTTTTTTTAAATTCGAAAAAATGTAAATATTTCAAAAACGGTGAAACTTTTACCTGAAAATTTTTTGTTTATCAGTGAGCTCACCCCCCCACCTACCTTCCCCTAAAGTTTGGCACGTTACTTCTGGGACACCCTGTATATAAATATATTTCAATTATTCTGCTTATTTCATAAATAAATAGATAATTTAATTTTTTAATCTATTTACTTCACACTCTGTTATCGATTGTGAACGAATTTTCTACAGCTGATCAATATTGTTTTTGCACAAAGCACGTATGATAAAAGAGTCTACGTTGTCTTACAAGTGCAAGTGAATTTGTTTTGCGTTTTGTTAATTATCCGCGTTGCTTTATTTGTATAATATTATTAATTTTTGTTATTAATTGCAGTTTAATATATAAATATTGGTAAGTACATAATTTGATTTTATATATAATAGAATATAACTCGTTTTTTTGGCGGGAGTTATACACATGTGTGTACATGTGTTTTGTTATTGTAATTACTAATAACACAACATGTGTTGTGTGAATGAATTTCGTCATACAGGCAAGAAAATAATTTTACGTGCACATATTTTTTGTGGTTATGTTTGTTTTTTAATGATCATATGTAAAGTACATACATATATTCAACTGTCAGAGATGTGCATATTATGTAAAGCATATATATTCATACTAAAAAACATTAGTTAAATTGACCGTTTTCTTCTCCATATAGTACAATGAGTAACATTTTTGATGAGGGTGACTTTTCGGCTGATGACAACGTT